CAAACATCTAGAAGAGTACATTATGTCTCTATGATATCTGCGACTCGGGGATACAAACGTGGTAATGCTCATCCAACTCGTTTTTGTGTTGAAAGGTCTCCACGGACGAGACGTGAAAACGTGCATTCCCGTGGCAGTATATAAGATTGCAAATAATTTAAATGATTGGAACAGGTAGTACATTTTTTTATAATTACAATATAAGTATAATAATTAAAATGTAAATTACAGGTTACCATGTGGTACATCTTTATGGACCTATACTTCAAAGTTGATGCGTGAAATGTTTAAGAAAATTGAGAAATTTAAACAATTTAAGGAAACCAATCCTGAGTCGAAGAAAGTACATTAGCATTTGGGAAAACATTTTGAATACTGACACGAATTGAGTCAGCTCTGTCAGTTACAAATGTTAAATCATGATAATCACCGACCCATTCATACAGTTTTTCAAGAAACCATGTCCAAGTAACCAGTGGCGAATCTAGAACCAAAAATTACATGGTTCCTAATGTAAATGAATTTGAAAAAATATGAAAGAGTAAAAGGTTCTGGTGGTGGTGGTGATGGCGGGTCGGGTCGGGTTGTATGCTTTAAAATATTTAAAAATCACTTTAATAGTTCTAATAAAATTCTTACAAATGAACCATATGAGGTTTTATATCTTGAAACATATTCATAATTTTCTCATCATCGATATTTTTTAAACATTTTTTTTCAATATACGTCACTAAACTATCACTCAAAAATTGGTCACTTTAAACCTGTGGATTGATTATGGTCAATGGAGAGGATGAACGACAAAAAAGGGCGACTAGGCAATCAGGTCAGACGGTGATTGGCGAATTGAAGTCGGCAGGCACAACAGTTTAAGGCTTGAAGCCACAAGGAATAGGAGTCATTGAATCGTTGAATGACGTTTCCAATTCTTTTTGTGTTTAATTTTAGATGGATTGGACTATATTAACACATTGGGCTTCTTCTAAATGGTTATTAGGTATAAAAAATCTGGGTTCATTGATATTCCTTTCTTAAAAAATTTATTAGGTAGTTCCTTTAAAAATAATAAAGCAGTTCCTATTTTTTATATATATATACCTCTATTAAAATTTTAAAAAAATGTAGGTCCTAGGACCTACCTTCCCTTAACTTAGATACGCCTCTGCAAGTAACACCACTATCTTTTATGCAAATTTTGTGCCCAATGGGTACTATTCGGTTGTTCCCATCAATGGATACTACATGCAATATGGTTCCATTAAAATTCTCCTTCAAATGTGCATCATCCATAATTATGACTTTTCTACAAAAATGTTTAAACGCACGTATTTGCAATATATTTGTAACTAATATTAAAAAATAAACAATATAAATAGTTTAAAATAAGTATATATTAAATAACTTTGAATTTTATGTATTTATCGTGTTCCCGAGGGCTTAAAAACAATACTCGAAGCGATCTTAAGAATCTGTTTCAAAATAGGCCAATGTCCCGGGATTGTGATTCTTCAAGTTGTGAAAATAAATAGGAAGTTTGGAAAAATATTCAATGGGGGACCCCAACATCAGTTGCATGGCATATTGTTTTGCACGCCACACTTATTTGTAACTTACATTAATTTCGAGCAAAGCATTCATATCCCTTGATATTTCATTAGGCCTCCAAACTTTCGAACGATTTTTACCCATAATCTCATGCAATATAGTACCCATAACTTTTTTATTTGCGTGCTTATGATTTGGGTGTATTTGTAACGACGAACATGTGTGCACGTCGTTGTACATCCTAACTTCAAATTCGTCACTCGTATTAAGGCGTCTTGCATATAAACGCCAACTGCAATTTTCTATTTCACAATAAACCTCGTAACGATTTTTGTTGGAATGTTTGGTCTTAAACTGAAACCTTTCTCTAGTTGCTTTCATACTCAGAGCAAATATTGGATCTTGTTTGGTATCATACTTTTGACGAACAAATATAGGATCATTTGGTTCTAAACTGTGAAATGGTCCAGGTTCAACAATCGGATCTGGACAATCAAGTATGGGAGGCATACCGTAAAACATGTATGAAGCTTTTTTTTCCGTGTTTAAACTCATCTTCTGACCATCCTTCATTTGATTTTTCATCATCTGAAAATGTTTTCTCACCCAATCTTCCAAACTCATATACATTTTCGTCTTCCACCTCATTTACTTCAACAATTTCTTATCCTGAACAGTGTTCAACATTATCTGATACAATGTTGTGACAATTATCTGTTACAATGTTGTCGAACGCTGGTGTCTCTTCAACCCGTCCCTCAAACACCTCCAAATACAAATGCACTATCGCTTTTGTTTCAGACATTACAATTCTGAGTTGAAGAACATTTGCTTCATCTATAATGTTGATGACATACCCATGCTCAGGGTGTTGAAATGAGAACGATATACTATTATTGAACGTATTTGCCTTTTTTTAACCAAATCAAACAATGTTTGACGGTCAACATTAGTCAGAAGTAGTAACCCAGGTTGTTAAACTTTACTCTAACGTACGTGTTAATTTCATTAATTAACTGCCAAAACCCTCCTATACATAAAATAACGAAACTCAGATTTTGACTGAAATTTAAAAAAAAAAAAAAAACAAACTACCTAAAACTGAGATTTCAGATTGTTTTTTTATAAAAGAAGGGAATTTATTATCATCAAAAAACCGTCGATCTGTGGATACATAATCTCACTCCGCGGAGCCCTCGTTAAGCCTCTCCGCAGAGGAATTAATGGACAATAAAGGACTGAAGCTACCACTCCGCAGAGGCCGCGGAGGGAGCTCTGCGGATCCTCGTGGACTCCTCTGCGGTCTTCTTTTACGGTACAATATTTACGAAAATGCCATTCCGCGCAAGTAATTATCAATTCGTGGAGGCCATAGAGGAGCCCTCGGCAGAATGCATGTCTATTGCTGGAAAAGAGTTTTTTTGTGACTATATTGTGAAACTCCCCCCAAAAAATGTCTATTGCCGGTATTTTCCGTGTAACATCCTATAATCATTTCCAAATGGCTAAATTGTGACAAATTTGAAATTTTAAGGTTCAATTTAACATATTTTGATGTTTAGGTACCAAAAGATGATAAAACCAAAATTTTAATGAAAAAGTTTATAAAGAATCCTTTGCTTATTACGTAAGTGAAAATGACTCTGGAGGGTAACTAACTATTGAGTTTGTTCTGATTTGGTCCATTTTATTTTTTGTACCCAATATACCATCGAACTTGTTGTTTGTGTTCACCATAACCCTTTTGACCGGCTTTTGACCGGTTATCACCTGTGATAGCCGATCAAAAGGTTATGGAGAACATAAACAACAAGTTTGATGGTATATATTGGGTATAAAAAAAGAAAAAGGACCAAATGAGAATAAACTCAACAGTTGGTTACCCTCGTGAGTCATTTTCCTTTTACTTATTTACAGAAAATCTCATGTCATCTCCTGCTCATATTAATGATTTTATGAGATTCATTCTTGCTTCTCTTCAAAACATAACCCACGAAAGAACATTATTCATACATGTACAACTTTGTAATGCACTTGAATATTTATTAGGGGAATCTTGATTGAGCAGGTGCATTTCATGAGTACATTTACATTTCCAATCAAATGATTTATCGTATCATGGATTCTGGACAAGTCTACAAACGAGTAGAATCACAAGTGCTATGATTTTTGTGTTTACTTGACTTTAAGATCGAATTCATGGGATAAGATACAACATCAATATGTACAAGATCATGCAGCTTTTGTAGACACATCACCATAATATACCTTGAGGTAAACATTTATGCTGATAAATATACCTCTCATACACAGTCATATCCTTTTGCAGAGAGTTGTTAACAGTTAACCACAGTAAACATTGCATAGACCATGTTTTGACGAAGCTACCCCTCCAAACGTTATTCATATATGTTATGACCTAAAAAGGTTGCAGTCTTTGGTACTTTTGCAGGTTTAATTTCATTTAACTTTTTTGGGAAAAATGACTTAGGATGGTAACCAACTGTTGAGTTTGTTCTCATTTGGTTCCTTTTTTTGTACCCAATACAACATCGAACTTATTGTTTGTGTTCACCATAATCCTTTTGACCTAGGGTTATGGTGAACACAAACAATAAGTTCGATGATATATTTGGTACAAAAAAAAAAAAAAAAATGAATCAAATGAAAACAAACTCAAGAATTAGTTATCCTCCAGAGTCATTTCCCATTACATAAAGAAAGAAAATTATAAAACTAAATACTTTCCCATTAAATTTGTTATCTACATAAATCTTAAAGTATTTATGATCTGAATTCAAACAAATTTTAAATGTTTGGTTATTGAGTTGGGTTGACGATAGTATTTAAGTTCTAGGATAATTTCAAAATTATTAGATAAGTTCTTACAATTGTTCTCCACAAGTTCTTATTATAGAAAAATCTACAAGGGGACTCTTACACAATCATTTACAAATATCATTCATCATATTATGATCATGATATTATGTACATTGTTCTTCATCAACTTCAAACATCCTTTTACCATGTTTCTATTTTCTATTATTCCTAACCAATATTTTTTAATTTGTGATTTCCCTCTTATTTATATTTTATTTGTTAAATCTCATACATAATGTATCCCAACTAATGGCCAAATTGTACGCAAAAAAATTACTATAGTCTGTATAAGAAAATTCTGAAAATAAGGCGTGTACATGAACACACCTTATGTCCATGTCATGTAAACTCTCTTTAAATCTATCCTCATTAATTGTTTTTCTACCCCCACAAATGTAACATCATTTTGTTAAATATGTTCTAATGCCATTTGTCCAAACAATACGCTATCTATACAAACTAAATCAAGAAGAAAAAGAAACAAGTCTACACTCACTATTTTTAAAGGTGTGTTCATGACTTACTCATGTCTAATTCCTTAATTCGTTTCTTGAACTTCTTAATGGCATCTACCAATTTAATACAAAACATAGTACGCTAAAATAAAGGTTATCAACTTATCATCAAATCCAAATAATCCCCATTAAAATTGAAGTCTAATTCTTGAACATCAATTAGTTACCAATAAGAAAACATATTAGAAACAAATCTTGAGCTCGGTTTCAAGCCTTTTTCGATTTTGTCTTCACCTTCGTCTTCGATTGATGTGGAAAGAACAATCGGAAAACCCAACCAGCAAATATCGCGCCTACAAATGGACAAATCCAATAAACATAAAAATGTTCCCATGTGTCGTGTCGCTTATTCACATATGCCCACCCAAACGCCTGCACAAAAAATTAAAAAAAATTAAGTTTCACAATTATCAGTTAGACACAGTCTCATCCGAAAATCAAGGACTTCATATATCTCACACGGAAAATCAAGGACTTGACATATATGACACGGAAAATCAAGGACTTGACATATATGACACGGAAAATCAAGGACTTGACGTATGTAACACATAAAATCAAGGACTTCATTTATCTGTCACATATCTGACAGATAAAATACAGAATCATGGGTTTATAGAAAACTTACATTGGCGGGATTCATTGAAGGGCCAGTGTACTTGGCACCAGCAACGACCATAGTGACGATTGATGTGGAAAGCATAAAATTCTTTATGAGTGGACTTTTGGGACCTTTGAGAATGATACATAGGACCAAAATACTTGTAAAGAAAGTCAACACCCCCTCAGCAATGGCACCTGTGTGCATGTCAACTTTTAGAGAAGGTCCACCGAGCTTGTGTTTGTGCTCCAATGGCATTACTTCAACAATCGCCATAGCACCACCAACAGCACCTAAAGCCTGATTCATCACATTTATATTCTAGATTCATGCTAGATTCTGAATCTTGACTTGGAAAGTCAAAGATCGTTTCTTGGATGTATTTTGACCAAATGTCAACCGGATGTTTTTAACAAATTTGATTATTGAGCTTTAATCGCAATTAATCAGTTCAGAATCAACTAATTAGCTTAAAAAAACCGATTAATTCGTAATGAATATGATCAGAATGCCTAAACTGACCAATTTTGGGCGTAACTGTACGTATATGTTTTGATTTGAAAATTGAAACCCTATTTTTGTTAAACGATAATTACCCGAATTAAGTTAACGGAAGTACCTGAGCAGGAAATCGGACGGCGGCGGAGACGAGGGAATCGCGGCCGAGACCGGCAGCATAGAAGGCGGCAGTACCGGTGGGATTGAAGCTAGCTCCACCCAACGCATCGCCAATAACACCAAAGATGAGTAAGAGGATGAATACGAGGGAGATTGTGATCAAAAGCGACGCCATCCCTTGGATCCCGATGGCAGCGGCGATGACGGAAGTAGTAGCACCAAGGGTGGAAGCACAGAAAACCCACATGAAAGTCAACACCCCATCACCAATCGCCGCCTTCACTACCCCCATAACTACCCGATCTGTGAATAAGTTCACCACTGGCTGCAAGATTAGCGAATTCCCAGTAGAGAGATGAAGTGGATAGTATCAGAGTGGAAGAGTATTGGAATCAGAGAAGACTTTTAGTTAGGTAAAACTTGTGATGGCGTAAACGCCGTGTACGTTTGCAATTGATTTTGTTTTATTTTACTTATTTATTTATTTATTTATTTATTTTATTTGTGATCTTAAATACAAGGCCCAACTCCCACCTATTAATCAGAAGAAAGCAATTATAAATTAATGAATATTATTGTTATTCAAATATATTTATCGATATCTATTTTTCAAATTTTATTAATTTGAATAATACAATGTTTAATACCTAAGTACCTAACATAATCATATAACTCATTTAGAACATATGCTAATCTTTATCTAAACCGAAAAAAGGAAGGTGAATGTTGTTTATACTTTGTCATCAGTCAAATTAGACGGAGATCAAGGTGAGATAGTTGATCGTAATAATATATATATATATATATATATATATATATATATATATATATATATATATATATATATATATATATATATATATATATTAAATTTTAGAAGAAAATAAATAGTAAACTTGTCATTGTTTTGACAGAATTGGTCCCTGTATTATTATTGGGCTTCAAAGTTGGGAATAATAAATTTGGATGTTTTTTGGCAACTTTGCTCCTCATTCTTTAACCATTTTGACACTTTTGGTCCTTGCAATCAATATTTTTACACTTTTTAGGAACCTTTTAATATTTAAAGTTTGGACACAAAACTTTAACGGTTTGACAACTTTGATCATTTTTCTAAAAAGTTGCAAATTCCTACCCCTTTAATTCTTTAGCTATTTTGACACTTCTGGTCCTTGCAGTCAAAACTTTTACATTTTTTCATAAAAACTGGATGTTTTTTGGCAACTTTGCTCCTCATTCTTTAACCATTTTGACACTTTTTGTCCTTACAATCAATATTTTTACACTTTTTAGGAACCTTTTAATCTTTAAAGTTTGGCCACAAAACTTTAACGGTTTGACAACTTTGATCCCTTTTCTAAAAAGTTGCTAATTCCTACCCCTTTTAATTCTTTAGCCATTTTGACACTTCTGGTCTTTGCAGTCAAAACTTTTACATTTTTTCATAAAAACATGAAAAAAACGGTCCGGGGCAAAGTCCGGGCTTTTCATCCTTGCACTTTCTACGTCTGTCATATTTATCGATTCGCAAACAACATTGAAAGCTTCCGGCCCCCGCTACGCGAGGGTAACCTTTCTAGTTAGATAATTAAAATAAAGAATGATATAATAGGTGGTTTTTGAATGTGATTATATTTCAACTATTTTTTATGTTGTTGAATGTACGACATATTATTTATATAAAAAAATACTATGTTAAAAGATTTGTATAATTGATTTAGTCTATTCCAATACCATTTTTATGGCCTAAGGAGTTGGATAATGACAAACAAATTATGTTACACATTATAATAAACAACATACCAAATTTAATAAACCAAATATAAAACTTGCCAATTTCATTATCAATCGAACAAAGTCACAAACACTAAAGTACTATGGAACACATGTGCAATGACACAATTACCCCTGTACCAAACCCCACCCACAATAAGAGAACATAAAAAGAACACAATTTATCTATGAAAGTGACGACGCAATTTCCATTTTGTAATTAGTTCCTCCGAAGAGCAGCGGCGGAGAGCACCACCAATATCACCAAAATCGCCGTCGCTAGGAAGGAACCCACCACCGCCCCACTAACACGTGGACAGAATTCATTGAATTGCTGACAAAGCGCCGGCCAATTAGTGTTGGGGTTTCCGTTGTGTGCCAAGTACACGATGGCGGCAGCCGCCGATGCAGCCGCCATAGTCAAAGCTAATGCTAGCTGAAGAGCAAATCATATGTTATAGGCATTTAACCACATTATCACATCAAAAATTCGAACGAAACTTTTTATATACTCGTATATGGTATTTCACCATAAATATTAATATATTTTAAATATGATTATACGAATTATTGTTATAAATAATAATTCAAGTTGAATGAACAAGAGAATTTAAAATGGTTTGTTCATTTTCCTTTGGAGGTAAATTTACTTATTTTCACATAAACATATTAAAAATCCGGCATACCGTGTCACAAAGAAGGAGCAACATCCTAGCTCCTACGATGTGTGGACGAACGATACAAACTACCGAGAAAGGCAAGGAAAGTAATAGGTATACACAAGTTATCGCGTTTCCTACCAAGAAAAACCTGTATAAACATTTACAAAATTATTAATATGTTAGATACCATAGTCTTTGTAAAAGAAAGTTTTCTTGATGTTTCAAGAACTTTATAACTTACGTAAATGCGGGAAAATCGTCATAGCTAGCTTGGAACTGAAAAAATCGAGTGAAAAACGGGAGGTTTTGGCTCGTGGTGCCCATAACTGCAGCTGCAGCTAAAGTAGCAGAAATAGCACATATCCTTAAAATTAGATCAATAATGCCAACACCTCTTTTCCACCCTCCAACTGGTGTTTGTTGGCCAAGTCTCACGGTGGTTGCCGCCACAATAGGTGGTGCACCTTTCACGGACTTGGAGGACTTAACATCCCTTACCGGAATTGCAATGTCACCACTTTCTTTTCCCGAACGACTTGAATCCATTTTAGGGTTTTTAACAAAATAAGAGTATTTTCTAGTGAGTTGAGTAATGTTGTTTCTGAAAGGCTTCTATGAAGATACACTTGTATGCACACACATATATATCGCATAATGTATTTGGTGGGTTAGTTTTGGTTGATTTAAGAATATTATGGGTAAGTGAAGTGCTTGTACTTGAGGGGAGTTGTTACTATAGCCAACTAGCTCCACTTCATCTAGAAATAAAGTGTCTGAAATCACAAGTTTTTGCGTAAATGTAATATATCGTTTTATGATACGAGAGCATCCAGCATTGGGATGCTAGTAAAGGATAATTAAGTATAACAACTTATGCAACACTGATCGGTTTTGGATTATAATGCAACGATGACCATTTATATGATATAATAGGTGTTCACGTAGGATTTCGTTTTTATTAAAGCTTATTTAAAAAACACCCATAAGTTATTAAGTTTTACTGTTTTTTTAGGTTTCTCTAAAATAAACTCAATTTTAATTTTACAAATTTTCATTTATTTCAATTTGGTCATTTAACAGGTTTATCATTAATCTTCCGGTTTTAAACATTTTTTTCCCGGAAAAATCATCAATTTTTTTTCCGAAAAAATCCCTGAGTGCGTTTGGTTGGCAGGAAAGGAATCTAATTCGAGAGAAAAGGATTACAATTCTCTCGAATTCATGTGTTTGGTTGGACTTAGAGGAGGGAAAATGATTCCTAAATGAAATAAACTTTCCACAATATGGTGGAAAGTGAATTCCTTCCAAAGTTGGATGGAAAACATTCATTCTCATCAAGGAAAGTGACAGATTACAAAAATACCCCTTGTACTTATCAGAAAACTCATCACCACTACCACCACCACCACGGCCGTTACCACCGTCACCATCACCACCACCGCTGCCGCCACAACCACCACCACCGCCGCCACTGCCACCGATCACCACTACCACCGCCATGACCACCACCCACCACCATCGTCGCCACCACCACTACCACCCACCATCACCTCCGCCGCCGTCGTCACCATCGTCGCTATCACCACCGCCACCAGCCGCCACTGCCACCACCAGCACCATCACCGTCGTCACTGTCGCCACCAGCTGACACTGCCACCATCACCACCACTTCCGCCACCACAATCAATGTCACCGCCACCATCACCACCACCGTCGCAACCACCATCACCGCCACCCACCACTGTCGCCGCCACTGCCCCCACCACCACCGCCGAAATTTTACTGTTTTTATAATTTGTGTAATGTATTTTTACATATAAGTTAGAAAACAAGGTAAAATTAAACAAAACAGACAAAAAGGATAATTATGTCATTTTTCATGAATTCCAATTCCATTTCCTGCGAACCAAACAGATTCTGAAATTAATTCAAATTCCATTTTCTGCCAACCAAACAGCATATGAAATTGGATTCAAATTCCTGACAGATTCCTTTTCCAATTTCAATTCAAATTCCTTCAACAACATTGTGCGAACCAAACAGCACTTTAGTCTTTCACCTTTTTTTTCCAAGTGACAAATATAATGAGTTTTTTGGATAAAAAAAGTAAAAATATGAGGATTTTTTTCTGAAAAAAAAAGATTGAGAATTTTTTTCATAAGATTACCCGTGAACCTGCTAAAATTGTCAAATCAAAAAAAATAGAAAAATACAATGTCTTTTTAGGAAAAAAAAAGTTGAGTTTTCCTCCAAAATATAGAGACTTTTATGATATTAATTTTTTTAAACCAAAATAATTGTTTGACTAAAAAATTAGTATTATAAAAGACCTTATATTTTTATATTTTTTTTTTAATTTAAATTCTAAAACCTTTTTATTTAAAAAAAATCGTATTTTTCCTTTTTTTTTATTTTAGTCATTTTAATAGGTTTACCGGTAATCTTGACAATTTTATTTCGAAAAAAACCTAACTTTTTTTCTTCAATAAACCCCTCATAGTTGACAAAAAAATTTGTTTGGACCATTTTTGTTGTGACCCATAATTCCTATGTTCTTCTTTACGTCGTTGTTTATGGTGTTCTCGATGAAGAAAAATGGATGTTCGATTGTATCTAGGCTTATTGATTTGGAAACCGAATGTTATATGTTTATTAACTTGGATGGAATTATATAACACATGGTTTCACCTTTGCTAATTTGGAGACCGGAGGTTTTTGGAATCGTATCACAAATAGTTATACGCCCACTCATTTGAAGACAAAAAATGCCTACTTTACCAATTAATGGTTCTCTGTATGCTAATTTGAAAATAAATAACAATGCAATACCTAATGAATTTATCGACTATGCTATTATTGATATGCCTATTGATGGAGAAAAACGAGTCTCAAAGGGATATAAAAAGATCATTATGGATTAAATTACACGAAAACTAACTTTAGATTTTCAAAACATAGATTAAAGTTTAAGAGATGTCTTTATGTTTGATTGAAAACAATCTAAGATATCATGTC